CTTGATATTATAATAATAACATACTTCGATTACATAACATAGAATTACGTAGTGTGTGTCACTAAAAAAGGGGGAGACTACAAAATATCAATAAAGTAGATAACTACTTCTTTATGTATTTTCTTTTCAGTGTATGTAATAAATCAGAACGTTATAGTTCGTTTTAAAAAAAAAAAAAGAAAAAAAATAGAACAACCGTGTCGTGTTAATCGGTAAATTGTTGAAAAGGTAAAATGTTCATAGTGTTCGCAATTAAAAATAATCAAATATTCAAATAAATTTTTTCTTTGACATAAATAAAAAAATTTAAATAAAATAAATCAAATTGAAAAATGACTATACTAGCATTTACTATGACTGTTTTGAGTATTTGTGGATGCTTGATACCGCCATCTTGGTCGATTTCATTTTTCAAACGTCTCGTATATAATTTGTATACAATATTTGTAGCTTTATTAATATCATCCTTATCGTTGTCACAAGCAATCGCAGTTATACTAAACGGAAACAATTCTAATGATTCTTCCGACGACATTTATATATTTCTCGCTGAAGCCATATCTTGTTTTAAAATGTTAAGTCTTTTGATTAATCGTAATAACATTGTTAATTTAATTAGTTCTTTAACTCAAGAACCATACAAACCATCTAACGATGTGGAAACCAGGATACAAATTAAATTCGACAATTGGTCAAGGTCTGTAATATCAATCATTATTTCTTAAATTATTTATCTATTCAATATGTTTTAATATATAATTCAATTTAGTTAAATTATATTTAATTTTATGGGATTGGGATAAGGGAAAAGTGTACCTTAGATGAATTGTGTGAAAAGTTTTCAACTTAAACATAGAAGTAATTTTGGTCTCAATTTTGTCGTTGTTTATGGTGTTTAAAATTTTTCATAATAATCCTCTTTCTTTTTATTTTATTTGATCATGAATATTTTAATATTTCTTGATATTATTTTTTTAGATTGAACACACAGTGTTATTCGTTTTTACTCGCGTTATCTGCCTCCTGTTTCTTGTCCAACTCATTACTGACTAAATTGAAAAGAAAACAATTAACTTTTCAAGCATGGTTGCCGTTCGATAATAAAACGAATAATTATATATTTTATTTAACTTACGTACATCAAATGATAGCACTTTTATTAGGAGCCATGCTTCACGTTGCATTGGATTGTTTAATCTTTGGTTTTCTTCTACACGTTTGTTCTCAAATTCAAATTTTGGAAAATCGTCTGACGAAGATCAGTAACGATAATAAATCATTTTTAAGATTATGCATTCGTCATTACGACTGTATACGCAAGTTAGTTTATTATTATTATTATTATTATTATTATGATTTTAATATAATTTTGTTTAATCGTAAAAATCCGTGAGTGTGAATTGAAATGTTTTGAGCCTAAACACGAAACTAATTTTCTCTCTTTCCAAAAAATTTTATTTAAAAACAAAATTACAGATTTGCCGATAACGTTAATAATATGTTCGAGTTGATGGTATTTATACAATTTTTCGTTACCACATCGACAGTATGTTTTACATTGTATCAATTAACTAAAGTATCACCATTGTCTTTCGATGCTGCTAAAATAATACTTTACATGAATTGCATATTAACACAAATATATCTCTATTGTTGGTACGGAAATCTTGTTGCAACAAAGGTTTGATAAAACATTATAAATTATTTATCAAATACTTACACAATAAATATCCTAACTATATATATATTATATGTAACATATGGAAATAATTACATTTCACACACAAAATGAAATAATAATAATAATAATAATTTGTTTTTTACAGAGCGAAGAAATTCCGATGAAAATATTCGAAATAAATTGGACGACGTTAAACGATGATAAAAAAAAATGTTTATTATTTATGATGAAACGTACGATGAAACCAATCGTCTTAATTGTAATGAAAATTCTTCCTGTCAATCTTGATTCTTTCGTCAATGTTAGTATATACATATTTTTTTCATATAATATCCCATAAAGAGTACACCATAATATTGTATAATCCATCTCCCCCCCCCCCATACTTTTGACCATTCTCATATCGATTTGTTAGATACTTAAAACTTCGTACTCGGCATATAATATCTTGCAACAGACGGATGAAAAATAAAAAGAAGAATGAAAAAAATAATAAGGAAGAAATCACATATTAAACGAAATATATCTCGAGAAAAGGGAAAATAACATAAGAGATATGGGGAAAAAGAAATAAAATGGATATCACTGTTATCATCCAACTGTTTATTTACGTGTATGCGTTGCACTTGCATACGCATATACCAGTGTTTGTATAAATAATTCATTCGCAATATTAATACTTAATGGTATTTCAAAATATAGGGAACAACGAAAGAGAAAGAAGAAGAAAAAGAAAAAAAAAAAGAAAAGAAATAAAATATATTTTGCGTGCAATGAAATAGTCAATCAATCCACCGTATTTCCTTGTTGTTTTATTTCTTTTTTTTTTTTTCTCCTAAAAGATATAGGGAATATTATATCTCTTGGTATATTTACAACAATTCCCCTATCATTTGACAAATCATCGATAATGAAAATCACTGTGTTTTGTATAAACGATAGTTTCTACCTAAGCAACTATTAACTTAAAACGGAAAAATAAAAAAAAAGGGGTTAGAAAGAAATAATGCATCGGATATGATGATATCTTTTCTTTAGTATTGCATACTATAGTTAGACGGTATAACTTATGTTAGTACGATCATGTGACAAAATTCGCGAAGATCTTGCGATGTGAATAACGCGATTTGAATATTTCTAAAATAATTTCTAATACTTTCTTTTAATTTTATTCGAATTCGTTTCTTTTTCTTTTTTTTTTTTTCTTTTGAATTTAATTTGGGGGGCCCGTTTATTTGTTAAATCGTTAGAGAAAAAAGAGAGAGAGAGAGAGATATAGGTGTTAGAGATATATTTGTTAATTTTGATTATTTATAATAATGCGTATATTAACGTTGGCATTTAAAATATTAATATTTTGCGGTATATGGAAACCAATGGAATGGAAAACAACAAGTAAAAATATCATTTATGGCATTTACACTTTCCTCGTGATATTTTTTGTTTATACATTTTTATGTTCGCAAATGATCGACATGATGACCGTCGATAATATGAACGATTTCACCGAAAGTTCTCACATGCTTTTGACGATGGTTATTGGTTTTTGTAAAGCAGTTAACGTATTGATGGCACGGGATAAAATTGTTAAATTAGTTGACATATTAACCGATGGTACATGCATATCTATCGATACGGAAGAATTAATGATTCAAAAGAAATATGATCGAACTATTAGGTGAGTTTAATATATTTGTTTCTTTTCTTTTTTTTTTGTTTAAATATTTATTTATATATATATATATAATTTATTCTTTCAGAATTAATACTCTTTATTATGCCATCATGATCGAAACTTCAGTATTATCAAGCATATTAAATTCATTGTTAACCGATTTGCAATCAAAAACTTTGCCATTCAGATCATGGATACCATACGATTGTTATTCATCTACTATCATATTTTATTTAACTTATTTTTATCAAATGATATCTATGACAGCCTGTTCATTATTTCACGTCGCGATAGACGGATTGTTTTGCGGATTTTTATTACAAATTTGTTGTCAAATAGATATATTAAAGTGTCGTTTGAAACATTTCAATGGAAATGGTTTCGATGATCTTCGAAAATGTATTCGACATCATTATCAAATTTATCAGTAAGTTACTTTTTATTTTATTTCTATTTTGAAAGATTGTTGTGTTCGTTGAAACATATATTGTCTTAGTATATATATATAAATATATATTTTTTAAATATAATAATAATTTTTGAATTTATATTTTTTGTTTTGTGTGTTTTAGAATCGCAAATAAAGTGAATGAAACATTTTCTATAACGATATTCGCTCAATTCTTCATCAGTTCAATAGTACTTTGTTTGAGTATGTTTGAATTACTTAAAAATGATCTATTAAGTACTGAATTTTTCGCACTAGTAATATATTTGTCGACGTTGTTGGTACAAATCTATATTTTCTGTTGGTACGGGAATAAAGTTAAATTGAAGGTTCGTTAATCGAGTAAATGATTAAAAAAAAAAACAAATTTAACAATTTTTTTCCTTCGTTTTCAGAGTAGTCACGTTGCTGTTGCATTTGCCGAATCCGATTGGACGTCCCTTAACAATCATTCAAAGAAACTTATTTTAATAGTTATGCAACGTGCTGCTAAACCTATAGAATTTGTTAGCGCATATTTTATTACCGTAAACCTCGACACATTTATGAACGTAAGTAGTACGATACCCATTCGAAATTTATTTTTAATCATTTACTTTTCAATATACTCGAGTACATATTTTTTTTTTTTTTTTAATTATTATTACAGTTAATAAAAACTTCGTATTCTACGTACAATGTTCTACAAAAAGCTCAATAAACAATAGCAAATGATATTTGTTTTAATATTATAACTACTTACATGTGTGTATGCATGAATAATATACATATATAGGATCGGGGAAAAAGTTTCTTCGTATTTTTCTTGATAAATTATTTTGTTTAATACAAGTACAAAATATTGTATATATTAAATAAGACTCACTTAAAAAAGAAATCGGGAAAAAAAACGATAGAATTTTCAAATATTTATACAATCTTTCAAGAAACTTGAAATTTGGCCAATTCTATGTGATCATCTAGTAATAGTTTCTCTCTATCGTTATACAATGATTATGTGAAGGCGTATATGTATGTAGTTAGATTGCAGTGGTCAGACGATAAATTTGAATCTCTCGCAAGAAAAATCATCTTAAATTTCAATATTTCTATTTATTACAAAACAAATTTCATCTTATTCGTTATTAATATATCATTCATTAAAGAAATAATTTGATTTAATTTTTCACAACGCTAAACCGTTCAATCGAGATCCGAGAGATCATTTATATAAATTTATTTTTTCTTTTATATACCCACACTCAAGTGCAATAATTTTTTTATTATTTACTTCTATTTATTTTTTAAATAACATATAAAACAATATTAATAATATTACAATTCCATTAAAAGTCAAACCAATTGTAATTGAAAATTAAGAAAGAAATACTTAAAATATACTTACAAATATCATAAATTAAAATAATATATATTTGATTGAGATGAATTTGAATATTAATTGAAAATAAAAAAAAAAAAAAGAGTGACACATACTTGCCTAAAATATTAATAATAAATAATAATAATAAAAGTTTAGCGTGTTGAACGTTAGAAGATTTTTGTTTGAAAACAATACGATAACGATAAAGTATGAATAAAAATAATTTCAGAATGAAATGAATACGATAAACGATTTTTGATATTCGTTTTGAAAAGGTGAGATAAGTATAATAATATGTTCTTCGTGGACGTAGTTAGAGCAGAAAATAAACTTCGGGGGCCCCACCCCCGCCGACTTAAGGTTTCTTGACGGGCCATTTTTGGGGCTCCCCCACCAATCAGAACCAACGTAGATATTCGTATCCTTCCTTCCGTTAGTAATTTTCGTTTAAGCTTGCTTTCCCGATTCTCTCAGACGCTCAACTCGTGCCGTTCAGCTCGCTCGAGTTAGGTAAGTTTCCTGTTATAAGTTTGTCAACATTTATCGAAGAAGAAATGTCATCGTTGAAGAAGACAATATCATCTTATTATTCTTCTTTCTCTTCTTATTCTACTTCTACTTCTACTTCTACTTCTATTTCTTCTTTTTCTTCTTCTTCGTCAAAGTGTATTCCTTCTGTTATTTTATTATTTCATTGCTCTTTCAAAAATATATAAATCTTAATTTTTGTATAAACGATGAACGCGAGTGTTGTTAAAAGAAAAAATGAAAAGAAAAAAGCAAAGGATACACGGTGAAAAATGGAATCTCATTCGATCATTCTCCTATCGAATTAAATAAAAAATAAATCACATTTCTATCTCGTGAATTCGTGAAAACGTTCAACGATTATTCTCTACTACTACTCTACTACGACAAAACGATCTCAAAATATTTTCTAAAAAAAAATATTAAAAGAAACAAACAAACAAAAAATGAGAAAGAATGACTACGTTTAAGCTTGCAGGTGCTTTTGTGGTTTTAATTTTTATTTTCTTTTTTCTCTCTTGAAGAACAAAAAGCGTGTTGCTTATATATACAGGATGCTTGTGTAAGTAGAATTAACTAAAAGCTTGCAAAATATTAAAAGAAACAAACAAACAAAAAATGAGAAAGAATGACTACGCTTAAGCTTGCAGGTGCTTTTGTGGTTTTAATTTTTATTTTCTTTTTTCTCTCTTGAAGAACAAAAAGCGTGTTGCTTATATATACAGGATGCTTGTGTAAGTAGAATTAACTAAAAGCTTGATACATCCATATTTTTTTTTTTGAAACTTCTTACTCGAATTTTTATACAGAGAAAGAAAGATCTGTCGAATTATGACTATCAAAAATAAAAAAAAAAAAGAAAAATAATAAAATAATAATTGTAAATTGAATCTTAACGAATGAACGAACGAACAATAAAAAAAATGATTAGACGAATTGAATGAATATTATGAAATGATATGATTATATCGTGTTCGAGAATTGATCATTCAATTTTCGTGATTCACTTTACGACGAAAATAAATCGGTTGCTAACATTCGATGGTTCCGCTTGTATGCTATTTTCAACCTACCGATGGGAAACATCTTTTTATTCTTTTCTTTTCTTTCTTTCTTTCTTTCTTTCTTTGAATTTTTAAAGAAAAATATGTTACCAAATTTTTCTTTAAAAAGAATAATCACATCTTGTTTACCCTTGTTGCACGTTAAATAAGCTGGCTTTTAATTTTGTTCTTTTTTTTTATATAATTTGTGCATGACATACGCAAAAAGGAAGAGCCCCTATTTCTTCTTATTATCATTATTATTATTATCATCTCACAGGATAATATTTGCTTTAGGAGGAAACTACGATCTTCTTCTTCTTCGTGAGATCCTTTAACACTGCTGCCAAATATTGCTAAAACAAAAAACCAAAAAAAAAAAAAACAAATCAAACAAGCTAATGCTGCTACACTAACGAACGAGAATTATTTGCTTTTGGACGTGTAACATAGCGTGAAATATGTCGTAAGTAGTATTTCTAATATCGTCTAATGTATATTATATCGATCAGATCAATTTCATTATATTTTACCATTTATTTATTTATTTGTTTGTTTGTTTTAATAATTATTGCACGTGCATGCACATTGTCTATATATATAATAGCACTAATAATATTATTAATAATAAATTTAAATGAGAATTGAAAACATAACAGATGGATGAAAAGAGTATGCTTAGAAAAAAAGTACTCATGTGAAATGATTTTCTAATTCCAGACTCTTAGGAGGATCTTTATAAATAAACGCGAATGGCAAAACGACATCCGTGAGAAATTCGTGTTCTCGTTGAAATCTACATTTTCTGTCTCTCTTTCTCTCTCTCTCTATCTATTTTTTTTTATTTCTTTCGCGTTAAAAATGTTCGAAGGATTAGAAACACACGCGAAACGAATTTCGCAAGTGTCATTTTGTGACGTATTAGATCAGGTGTTGGTTAAATAAAATTTTCCAAATGATTTATATATTAAAATACTTTTCTAAAATATATTAAAAGAAAAATATTATAAATAATAAAGAACACACATACACACCTCTTTTTTTGTTTCTAATATTAACACGCGATAAGAATATATATATATATAATAATAATAAAAAAATAAGAGAGAAAATATCAGCCTAAGAAAAAAGTCGACAAAAATAAAAAGAAATAACATAAATAAAAATTCGTAAGATTCTTTATTGAATATTTTTAACCAACACGTTATTATAAATAAATGAAAAAGAAAAAAAAAAACACACACACACACACACACATAGTATAAAAAGATAGAAATGCAAATGCACGAGATACAACAGAATATTATTCGTACTTTTGATTGTGTGTGTGTTCAAATTAAAGGTAAGCAAAAAATTAGAAGGGGGGTTAGAGGGGTAAGAAAAAAAAATTATTCACGAGAGAAATAATACACGAATCCAACGATATTCGCAGGATTCTTGTTTAAAAGCTTGGTAAAATGCTATTAATAAGCGTCAGTTAGATCGAATGTCGGTCGTCTGTGGGCAGCCAAGTAAAGCTCGTTCTTCTGGCTTACATTAAAATGCTAGTTTTGCTTTTGCCCTCTTCTTCTCGTCGTGCCATCGACGTCGTTTCACTTATATTTATAGAATCCGGCTGTAGATGCTATTTCCGTGGACACCCTGATGTGCTATTTTCCGTGCACGTTAGGCACACACATACACAACACAATCATATACTCTCATATAATATAATATATAATAATACATATTTAAATTACATATATATATATATATATATATCTTACAATACGAAGGGAACGAAATTAAAAAAAAAAATAAAAAAGTTTCCATTTATCTAATTAAAAATATTCGATGTTTTATCGTAATTAATTTTTTTTATTAATATCGTATAGATAATTTTGTCAACATGTCACATTTATCTTGTTTTACGTAAGAATATTATAAATTACTATTACATATTATATTTTTCGTTGAATAATTTTGATTTATTCTTTTTTTTTCTTGTTGTTGTCTTATTTAATTGAGAATATATTACAAATTATTTGAATATTAATCACACTTGTACTTTATAATATATTCGTGATTGTTTGTAGAAAAATTTGTAAAGTATTATTATTCGATGATTTTATCTTTTTTTTTTTCTCCCGTTGACACAGAAAAGCCAGTCGTTTCGTGAGAAAAACTATCGGAAGTAGAAAAAAAAGGTCGCAATCATGGACGCGATCAAGAAGAAAATGCAAGCTATGAAGCTTGAGAAGGACAATGCTATGGATAAAGCTGATACCTGCGAAGGACAAGCTAAGGAAGCTAATTTGCGTGCAGACAAGGTCCTAGAGGAAGTTGCAGATCTTACGAAAAAGCTTGCCCAAGTTGAGAGTGATTTACAAATGAATAAACAAAATCTCGAACAGGCCAACAAGGATCTCGAGGAACGTGAAAAATCACTTACCAACGTAAGTTATATTATTGTTGTTAATATCATAATTAAGTTGTAAATAATTCCAACTGTTTTGTAATTAATTAACTGTTAATTAATTATATTATTATTATATATTGATATATATTTATTAATCGTCTATTTGAACAAATATAAAAATATATATATGTTAGTATGAATCAAAAGTGTGTTCGTGCATTTATTGTATCATAAATTATATTATAAATTGCATAATGCATTGTTTTTTTTTTTTGGAAAAATTTTACTTTGGAAATATTAATTTTCAAACGCACGAACTCTTTTGTGGTTCACCCTAATACTAAATATTTATAATAATAAAAATGTTAAATAAAAAAAGATCTTCTACATATATATATATATCTTTTAAAGATCAAGTTTGATCAATCAAATCGAATTTCGAACAATTCACGTGTCCTTGGTCTAATTCATTTTGGATAGGATCCAACCGATATCTTTACACTTAACGTAAACAAAACAGAGTTGTAGTTTTAATTTAAAAAAAGCTTTCAAGTGAAAACTATTTTTTATTTCTTTTTTCTATGTCATGGTTTACATACGATCGCATTGTTTAGGCCGAGTCCGAGGTCGCAGCTCTTAATAGAAAAGTCCAATTGATTGAAGAGGATTTAGAACGATCTGAAGAACGTCTAAACACTGCAACTGCTAAACTTGCTGAAGCATCTCAAGCTGCTGATGAATCTAGCCGGTATATAAAGAAATATAATTAATCATTTTTATTATAACATTATAATTACACATTTATAATATATTTTATTTTATTTTATTTGTTTGTTTGATTATACATTAATTTAAAATAATTTGATTTTTTATAATCAATCATTTATTTAAACCTTGTGTGATATTAAAAAATTAATATTTGATATAAATATATATTTTAATAATATTTAATATTTATATATTATATACTTTATATCGTTTATATAATTTATGATTACGATTTTGATGACAGTATGTGCAAAGTATTGGAGAACCGTGCCCAACAGGATGAGGAAAGGATGGATCAGCTGACGAATCAACTCAAAGAAGCTCGTCTCTTAGCTGAGGATGCTGATGGAAAATCAGATGAAGTATCACGCAAGTTGGCCTTCGTTGAAGACGAGTTGGAAGTTGCTGAAGATCGTGTTAAATCTGGTGAAGCGTAAGCACATACATTTATTCTAATGATTATTACTATCTAATGTTATTATTTAATACTAAACAACCAACAACAACAGATGAAATCAGACTCATCTTTAAAAAAAAGTCATATATATATTACGAAGTATTTATAGAAAAAAATAATACCATTTATGCAATAAGAATTTTTTTTAATTCATCAAAATATAGCAATACAATAATTTGTAACAAAATTTCCATTCCAAAAAATTGACAATCGTTCGTGTTTGATTGTACACAACGTTTAGTATTAAATTTTAGATAGTTTTTCTTTTTTTTACATTTCACATGAATTAACTTAACATTTAATAATTAAACATTTGATTTAATTTAACGAGAAAACAATGTTTTAGTATATTAATTCTTTTTTTTATCATTGATGAGTTCTTTTTAAAAATATTTCAGAAAGATCATGGAATTGGAAGAAGAATTGAAAGTAGTCGGAAACAGTTTGAAATCATTGGAGGTATCCGAGGAAAAGGTAATTTGTTTTAAATCAAATCAACCTACCCCTCCCCTTCTCCACCTGATGAAACTTTGAGGAAGAGATTATATTTGTTTTATTATATTATTTGAAAATTAGGCTAATCAACGAGTCGAAGAATTCAAACGCCAATTGAAAACGTTGACCGTCAAATTGAAGGAAGCTGAAGCTCGAGCAGAATTTGCTGAGAAGACGGTTAAGAAACTCCAGAAGGAAGTTGACAGGCTTGAGGGTAAGTTAAACGTACTCGGTATTATAAATATTTATGAAAAACTATTTCTTTTTTTGGAGCAAGGAGGGTTAGGGGGGAGGAAGAAGAAAAAAAAAAGAAGAAAAAGAGTGGATTTTTCTTATTGTTCTTTTATCGTTATATGTGAAACATACAAAAGTTTTTGGCAACGTTTTAGAAATTCTTCGAGATATATATTCGTTACTTCAAAATTTCCCTCCCTTCGCCCCCCCCCTCTTACGAGAATATAAAGTGACATAATTTGGCAAATTGACAATACAACTGTGTGCTTGAAGAGTTAACAAATAAATCAAATGAAATGAAGTAAGTCTCGTTGTTGACTTGTTGCCAAATATTGAACAACATATAATAATTTTTTATTTTTTACTATAGAAAGAAATAAATAAATAGTAATAGGTTTATATATATATTAATAAAGAAATAAATAATATCTAATATCTTTGTGTTTTTTAACAGGATAATATAAAAAAAGGGAAACTATTTTAAAAACAAAATATTCTCATCGATGCAACTTTGAATATGCAAATTGATTTGTTTCATTGCAGACGATTTATATCACGAGAAGGACAAACGCAAAACTGTTTGCGAAGAATTGGACAAGACGTTCGCTGAGCTTTCTGGCTACTAAAAAAAAAACAAACAAACAAAAAAAGAAAAGAACAAAAATATCTCCTCACACTCTTATCTATCTAAATTTATTTTGCTCATTACTAATTTACCTTCATACTCTGTGCCCCCGATATCTTATCTTTTTTTCGATTATCTCTTTCTTATATACGTGAAAACTTTGTTTGCGCTTTTTGCAATATTTTATTTTATTTTTTATTTTATTTTTCATTATTCCGAAATTGGACAGGATCGTATTTGGACTTTTTTTGAAAATCATTTTATTAAATGATTCGAGATTCATTTGCTTTGCAACGATTACAAACAAATAAAAATACACGTGTATCTTCTCGTTATTTTTTCATTTTTATCTTTACAAGAGTGATTATTTTACTCTAATCGTTTTTGTCCGATTTTGGATTGTTTTGCTTGAATTTTATGTGCTTTTAATTCAATTGGATAAAAAAAAAACACACACACACACACGCACGAACAAACGAAATAATTAACTCGTCCCTTTTATTATAATTTTGTTTATGTCTTTTGTGTCTTTGTCTGTGTTCCTTTTTTTAATTTACTTTATTATAAGCATATTATATATCAAAATATTATATAATTAATACGCGCTCACGCATAAAAAAAAAAATACATACACAATTGATAGCTTGATAAAAAAGAAAAAATAAAAAAACAAATAAAAAGCTTAACAACTTTACCCGAGGGTGGACCGTCGTACTTCAGGTACTTTTACACCACCAGCTCTCTCTTGTGCTCTATATTATATTGAATATTTTCTTTTTCTTTTCTTTTTTTGGTTTTTTTTTTTTCAATGTGTTTTTATTGTTCTTTGTTATCACCAATATAATTTCAATTTAATTTTTATACGGAATAAATATATGTATATGCATCACAGGGTTGTCATTTTGAACATATTCTATGAAAATAAATTATGATTAATTATTAAAAACACAAAATAATATATTAAAAAAGAAATGTTTATACTAAATAATGTATATATATATTCCGTATATGGGTTTAGAAAGATGCATCCTTATTAAAAAATAAAATAATATAATAATTTTCTTTCTAATTCCCCTAATATAATAATACTAATACCAATTAAATCCTGACATTTGATCATGCTTTCGCGCAAGCTCAATTTTTTTTTCTTTTTACTAGACGTCATATATATACTTACTTGTATATATTTTTCATCAACAATTTATTCATCTTCGCAGACGAGAACAAGAATGAAAGAAAGAAAGGAAAAAAAAAAAAGAAATGAAATATCGCAACGATTTATAAGTTATTTTTTTTTTCTTTTTATATCTATATTTTTTAAACGACGACTTACTGTTGTAGCAGTAGATAATTAGATAATTAGATAATTAATTATACGTACACACACACACACACGATGGGATATATCTTGTTAGAATTATTTTGTTGATTTTTATTTTATTTTTTTGTTTTCACTTCAACCAATATTTCTCGATACACTAATTATAATTTAATTAATTAATTATTATTTTCAGATGAGCTTGGTATCAACAAGGATAGATACAAATCACTCGCCGACGAAATGGACTCCACGTTCGCCGAATTGGCAGGATATTAGAAAGATATATTTTCATCTTTATAATTATTATATATTTCTGCTAATTCTTTTCCGATTCTACCCTAATTCCTATCTCTCTCTCTCTCTCTATTTCTATTTCTATCTCTCTCTCTCTCTCTCTCTCTCTCTCTCTCTCTCTCATTATCTCTCTCTCTCACTCACTCGCTCAGCTCACTCTCTCTCTCACTCGTATTTTGAAAAATCAATCGAATTTTCTCACGAAAAACACAATTACGGAAAAAAAGGAAAGAAGGAAGGAAGAAAGGGCTGAAAGATCTAATCGCGATTGAGTTAAAGGTCAATTTAACGATCATCCTAGCTAGCGTCCATATTCATTTCTTTACGTTATCTCGTCACGGACAGCTAATGAAATTTTATTCTGTTAAAAAAAAAAAGAAGTTATTAAGAAAGAGTATCATGTAATAAGCAACTGTAACACGATCAATGTTAATAAACTACCGTAATAAGATATGGTAGAAATTTACGTATTTAAGGAAATAATAATAATAATAATAATAATAATAATAATAATAATAATAATAATAATAATAATAATAATAATAATAATAATAAT